CCGGTTCATGAACGGAATTCGCAAAATGCGGAATAAAAACAAGAATAACCTAATCCTTGAAATTTAAAATATTTTGTTTTGACTATTAAATTTTCTGATCTGATTACACCAAAAGCCTGCATTGCTACCTTATCATGTAATAAAACATCAGCAACCAACAGAAACATTCTTTATGCTGGTCACATCATTATACATATATAGGCAACAACCACAAATTGACAGAGTTAATCAGTTCAGTTATGCATGTACAAATGAGAGGTTAGAATTAAGTAATTATTAGTCTACAAAACTTTGAAGCATTTGTTTATAAATCTTGATGAGGTTCATCAGCACCATTGTCTGCCTCTCCTTCGGGTGTAGCATTGTGCTTTAGAATACCTTTAGACTCAAGGAGTGCATTAATCTCATCCTCAGACATGTTAATGACACTGACACGCTGCAGAGAGAGAGATAGAGAGAGAGAGGAAGAAAGAAAGAGAGGGAGAGAGAGGAAGGAAGAGAGGGAGAGAGAGAATATGAGGGAGAGGAAAGAGGGAAAAGAGAAGGAAAGGATAAAGAACAAGTACAATACATGACTACATGTAGAAGTACACTGAGAAAAGAGAACAAAGAGGATTATAGAATACTGAAACTGCTTTACTACACTCCAAAAACAGTACAATAATATACTACACAGTACAAACCACATTCATAGGCTACATTCAGTACTTGGCAACATGAAAGAATATGAACCGATGCAGACAAAGACAAGAAAGAACTAGAGACAGCAAGAACTCACCTCCTCCACACTTTGACCATCTTCACCCAAAAACAGCAACTCAGGATCCTTGCCCCCTATGTACTTTATCTCAACATCAGGACTAAGTGCAAAATGTATTAAGAAACAATAACAATAATCCACTTAACAAGCTATACTGGAATACCTATAGTGTATTAATGTAATTACTGTCCCCAAACAAAATTTTGGTTTATTGTTTATGTATAAGCAAATACTTAACACGGACAAATGTAATCTAATAATGCGCAATATTATGTACTGTTAGTTTCACAATAGCCATCTACCACATAGCTAACAAATAGATGTACTATTACTATTACTGTTATTACAAAGCCAGTGGGCCCACAATACTGTATAGCTAAAAAAATTACCATTCGCCAAATTTTTAGTCTCCAGTTTGATAGGGTTTCATAGAAGCAAGCACACAGTTAAAATTTCAACCTCTTTTAGTCTTAATTCGCCAAATTTTCTAGCTATACAGTATTAGCCAGATTACTACAAGATTAATATTACTCAGTGATTATTATTAAGGATACTACTCTGGAAGATGTTCGTTGATGAAACGCTTCACCTACAAGCAAGACACATTAAATAGCACAGACATAACTTATTAGTCATTACCTTTGGAAGCGAATTCAAACGTCATCCACCACAAGTCTAAG